ATATATATATATATATATATATATATATATATATATATATATATATATATATATATATATATATAGAATATTTCATACTAAGTAGTATGTGGATGACTGTAAAGACTATTAAGTCACGTTTGTTACAGTTGGTAGCATCCAACCCACTTACAAAACATTGAATCCTAGCATTGATTCTTCAATGGACTGGCTCTGAAAGAGCTGTCTATCCAAAAGTCACCCGGAGTTGCAAACAAGATTATGGTGACGAAAATACACTTCCTGGGTACAACTAAATGAATGAACTGAAAAGAGATTACCGGATACACATGGCTGACGAGCGGCGAGAACCGCGAAACCGGTCATGTGCTTCCAGGGAAATTTTGTCCGCTCATTCATATACTACTTATTATATTTATGCTGAATACAGTTCTTCATAATAGTCCAGGATCAACTGCCTAGTTCCAGGAAAAAAGAAATGACCACATTAAGATTGTGATAATTTAGATAAAAATCTTTGACATGCATAGGCAGAAATTGAATCGTGTGATTATTTACCACCTCCGCTAAACCCGAAGGCACAGAATCAACGAAATCTTCTGCGAGAAAAGGAAGAAATCGGTAAACATGTAATCCGCGCGATCCAATGGAAAAGATCGTACACACTCTTATAGGTCTCGAATGTCGTACAGTCTTTCCTTATGTGCTCTGTATATTATTGCAGTGTTGCACACCTTTCTTAACACTCGGTTTTCCAGAATTGAAAAGTTAAACATGATATTGGTCCATCAAAGTTATGCCACACATAAATGGTACATCCTAGCTCGACGTACTTATCTTTGTCAACTGCAGCAATATGGTTTCGAGTAGTACTCACCTATTACACACACATCTAAAATGATACATGTTCGCTTCCGTACCTAAGCGATTTTAAACTGGGTTACGCTTGGCGTAATATGTGTCGTGTGAGTGAAGGCACAAGGATAGATGTTTGCCACAGAACACAGTCCAGGACAAAATCTAACAGATCTTGCAATAAAAAAACGTGTATTTTCTCATCATCTTGTTTTTCTTCCGTTTTTCGCTTGCAAGTGACGCCAACGGAACAAACAAACTTATGCCGAATTTGTGCAAATTCACCGTGCACAATCAGTGTGGCACTTGTTCACTCATCTCGATAAACAAATATGCAAACAACCGAAAAGGAATATAGATCTAGCGTATTAAAGAAGTACAACTAACCTCCATCGTTCTCTTGCCACTTCCTAGCTCGATGAGGTCCAACATTAGCAAGCATGGTCAATCGAACTATCTCGATTCCGTGCCGTTCAACCACCTCGGTTGGGTCGACTCCGTTCAGTTTGGATTTGCTCATCTTGTCCCACTCCATGTTCAGCGGTTGTCCACTCTCCCGATCGGTCCAAACTAACTGGCCTGAAAATGCAAGGACCGGAAGCGTGTGTGGGTGTATAGTTTAGATTAAGTTCGGGACGATTGTTGTTTAATTGCCCTTCGCCTCCTTGCCTTAATCGCGAAAAAGGCACTCGGAAGTTGCACTGGAGTCCGGGTGCGTACCGCAAAATAAACAGAGGCGGAAATGAGATGTGCACGGCACGAAAAAAACAGAACACAAAGATAAATGACCTATCATCGGGTTTGATCTGCCGGTTACCTGATGTCAAAACCCCGAATTAAATTTTACCCGGGAACGATTAAATTCAACCGGGAAAGACCCGATACCAGGTGAGAACGCCGCACCGGTCGAATTAATTGCCTCTGATAACTTCCGGTGTTTCACATCAAAACGCAGTGCATTCTCAATGATTTCAGACTAAAAACGATCATGCACTACGCAGCAGGAGGTAACCGGGGATTCACTACAGCAGCATGTGTCACACGTACGGTTGTATCTAGTTAACAATAAACAGTACTAAAATAGCTGGATAACTGCTGACTTGGGATTAAACTGAGTCCGCAAACCACCGGTTGAATCATAAGCTTGAAATAACCGCCAATGATTAGCTAAGAATTTCGGGCAAAAACCTTCAAATCGGTCACGCAACAATGTCAAATGATTCAGCTGAGCGAAGTAATATTTTGGCAGTAAAGAGCAATCACGCTTTGGAAGGTCATTTGATTATCTAGGCATGTAAAAGTATTCCACTGACGAGACCCTGTAACAAGGACTTCGAATAAATCAATCCACAGGGAACGATCCCCAACTAGCTGATTGTCATCTCTTATCATGCATGGGAAACATTCGACCATGGTGATCATCTTCGGGATCCTTGCAACTGATTGAACAACGGGCTATGAGCTTTTCAACTTGCTATTGCTAACTTCTTGGGGGAGATAAATTGATAGGAATCTTTGTGATGAACGACAAAGAGCACTGGACAGCTGTTTCATCCTGTTTGGGACTCGTCAGTAGTGCGTACATTCTGTGTCTCTGTCAGGACTCGAATCGCGAACCTTGGGGTCGGGACTTCAAACCATTACACTTGAGCTGCACGGACGACGGTCCTCACTTTGTGAGCAAGGCTCAATCAATTTAGACTGAGAATGTCTGGATTAGCCCATTCGGTTGTTGACAGAAGCACCAGGCACTATGATTATCTTGGGTGGGGGTTTGACTCCTTCGGAGATCGTTAATTCCCCATGAGGTAAATTTATCTAAATGCCCCTTAGCTACGGTTACATGCATTAACCTTTGGGAACTACCGATCCCCCAAGGAGTCAAACCCACACCCAAGATCATCAACGGTGTCTGTATCAATAACCCAATGGGCTAATCCAAACATCCATAGTATAAAAAGGAGATAAGTTGATTACGTCAATGATCATAGATCTTTGCGGGAGTTTAGTACAGGAAAACATCCCTAGCGTCAATTAAGATCAGTTCGAAAGCGCACCTTTTTCATTTACTGAAAATATTGTCTATGTATAGTAGCCGGTGGCTCGCTAAGGGCACAAACACTACAAAATTTCTTTCGGGAGACTGGATCGTAAAGTGTGAAGAGCGGGTTTGAAAATTCCTGAATGACGACTGGATGTGATGACTAATGACTCAAAACAGTATCTGTCTGGAAAAAGAAACGATTCAAGCGCCCGGGTGTAGTTTCCTGCCGAAGGTTTCCCATCAACTGTTCTTTTCAGACAAGCACGATTAAAAATGGGGGGTTTACAGCGCCGAAGTAAGTTCACACATTTAGGAAACAATTTAAGCAAACGGAGATTTGATCGCGGAAACGGAATTTTTCGACCGGTAAACACATTCGAATCCGTGTTTTATGCCCACTATTTTCCCGTTTATGAATTACTGTGGTAAATCCACTGAAGAACATAAAAAGATATTGTGATCTCCCAACGAGAGTAGACGCCTTACCTTAATTATCAAGTGCGACCTAGAAAAATTTTCTTATTACCGGTAAAACAACTACCCAACAACAACAACTGTGCTCAAAACTACCAACTGTCTCTAAATTTCCATACGATTCACCACGACGCACAAGTACAAGGGTGAGTAGCAATGAGATTGGGAGTACTTGCTGATAATAGGATGTTACGATAACATCCAAAATACATTACTCTACCAACACAAGAATCGCAATGGCCGCAGTGAAAATTGAAGTATACATCACAACACACGTGTACCACGTTATTTGTAACCACTTTGGTACGGAAACAATGCAGTGAGGTAATAGTCAAGATGATTTGAGAATGAGAGGAAACACTAGACGAATGAGGATAAGCATTTACGAAGTGGGTGCCGGAAACTTTATTTTGTCACATACTTCGCGGTATCCGATACCAACGAAGGGGATTTTATTTTAGAACCCAGACTGAAACCTTCCAGTAAAAAAATCTGACTTTTAAGGCAGTAGAATGTAGATTCAAAGCAGGAACGCGATCAAGGCACCCGAACAGTGACCGTAACAGAACTGTGAAGTAAGACTTTAGCATTTTTGCATGTTCACAGGATTTTTTTTTGGTTATTGGTCCACTATTTTAGATCCTAGAATCTCACGCACTTCATGAAATAGGTGGAACATCATCATCATGCAGCGAGATAGAGTGAAGCCAACTTCTCTGGTCGCTGCCAAACTCGCAAGGTACACAAATTAGGTGATGAAGAACAAGATAGAGAGGGACTGGGCCTAACTGGGGAGAGGCAAAGAAAGCGAACCTCCATGATCAATACAGAGTACACAATCTAGCTGTGCATGCATGCTTTTCAAGCACTATGACCTGGTAAGAAATGACAGCAAGGACAACACTGCTGTCGGTTCGCCGCCATATCCTTCAATGTCTCCAACCAGTTGCAGAGTCTTTTGGACCCCAACCTGGAAGACGGGAGAGACCGATTCTAGCTAATCGCTCTGTGTATTTATCCATGCCTCCTTTCATCTGTTGATTTCCACATGGTTTCTTCCAACCTGGAGTCGCGACTGTGAATAAGGTGCGATAGGATAGACGATGGCTGGGCNTGGCTGGGCAGGCGCATTACGTGTCCGGACCAGTGAAGCCAACTAATCTGAATTCGATGAGACAATGAACTCGCCATCGAATTATTACTAAATACATGATGCCTTACCTCAGTTACTCACACCCTCGCTCCATTCAACTATAAACATCGGCGGAACATGGAAGGGACAGAAGCTGTTTGGCTTGAAGCAAAAAGAAAATAAAAATCGAACAAATGTGATCTGCCGCATCAATTGCAAGGACTGCAGCAAGCATTACTAGCAACTCGTGTGCACGAACACAAACCGGTCAT